AAATTATTTGAATTATAGTTCATTCACCAAGCTGCATCAACAGTGATTAACACAACCTTCAACACCTATACACCTAGAATTTTTTTAAAATAAAGTGACTAACTGGATCTTGTGTCCAAAAATAGATATTTTGAAATGATGCAACTTCCAGGTGATGACTGTCCATCATCTCCTTCCCTGACATACTGTACAGTACAGTAATGTGTATACACAAATGTGGATACAGTATAACCTATGTGATGTACGGTAAACACAGTCATGTGAAAGTGTCTGCCATTTTATTTTTGGTTGGTAATCTTCAGATATATGAACTACTGCACAAATGCATAACTGTCAAAGGTGTAGTACAGTTACAGTACTACTGTACTGCCAAAGGAGTAAAAATATTACAGTATCACAAAAGAGTTACCCAAGCCAGTGTATTACAATGTTATGTACAGTCACCAAAGAATTATTCTGCACCCCTGGGTGCGTGGCTCTCGCAATGAACACTGCGAGACTGACGCCATGTATTGGTAAGGTTGGTATCTCTGATTGTGTGATTCATTGTAAAACTAAAGTGCTGTTATTCCTTATATCATGTGAAGTAACCACAGAGATATTATCAGGAATACATATAAAACCCATAGCACTTAAACCAGATAATGTCATAGCATTATATACTATACAGTAGTATTACGTTTAGTCACCCACATACGGTAAGAATGGCAGGTATTCTAGAAACTGAGGTGCTGTATAGGAATTTCGCATGCTATGAGATACAACGAAATTGTATAAATACTCATGATTATAACCACTATCTAAGAAAGTGATGAGAAGTGGCATAATACAAGACCTCAACCAGAAAAAACAAATACAAAACATTTGTAACGTAGGAAAGTTATACAGTAAGTCCTCACTTAACGTCGGGGTCACGTTCCAGAAAACGCGAAGTTATACGAAACAATGTTAAGCGAATCAATTTTCCCCATAAGAAATGGATAAAATACGGGAGTTACGTTCCTGAGCCTCTCTTTGCCCCATGAATAAAGAAAATTATTGTCATTTCTATGGAAAATAATGCATGCATATACAACTACAAGTACTGTACTAAGTTTGTTATGGGTAATCACCGATGGGCCGAGGTGTCTGGTGGGTAGTGAGGCGGATGGCAGGAGCGGAGGAGGCGGATGGCGGGAGCGGAGGAGGCGTATGGCGGCAGCGGAGGAGGAGGAGGGTGGTGGTGAGTCACTGAGACTCTGCGGCTGCCTCCTCCTCCTCCTGCGCTGACTGGGGTTCCTCCGCTGCTGTTTGCTCCTCCTCTGTTGATGTTTGCTCCTACTCGGCTGCCGGCTGTTGTGAAGATACTGCTGCTGCTTCTGCCGTCCCGCAAAGAAAAAATTAATCCAGTGTTGACTGCTTGGTGCTACTCTTCTTCTCTTTATAGATCTCAGTGTAACAACCAAGACTGTCATCAATGTCGCGTTGAATCTTTGAGCTACGTTCTCTGTTTGGGTCGTCATACACTGTATAAGGATTTGCATACCTTGCTGGATCATGTTGAACGCTTCTGCCAACCTCTTGGTAGTTAGCATTCGTGGAGGTTCTTCTTCCTCGTCGTCATCTTCAACAGGACTGTGTTCTGTTAATTGTTGCAGATCTTCGTTGGTGAGCTCTTCTGTATAGGATGCCAGGACGTCCTCAATATCCTCTGATTCCAGCTCATCAAAACCTGCCTCTCTAGCCAAGCTGAGGATATCCCTATTCACTGCTGGGATTAACTCAGTGAATCCCGTAAAACTGCTGACGCACTCGAGCCACAGTTTACCCCACACACCATTCAGGCAACTTTCAGAAACCGTTTCTGAACTGGCAGCTTCACCAGTCATCTTTATATTGTGAAAGGTATAACGCTTAAATTGTTGAAACCATCCTCGGCTGGCCGTAAAGATCTCTTCCTTCGATCCTTCACCCTATTCTGCCTTTAAGTCGTCAAACAAGGATCTGGCCTTATGCTGGATAACCATAAGGCTCACAGGGGCATTGCGTTGATTCTGGTCCTCCATCCACATTGCCAGCAACTTTTCCACCTTCTCTATCACAGTGCTTCTAGTACGAGTCGTCTTAGTAGCACTCGGAGAAGAACCACTTCCAGTACTAACCTTAATCTTGTCAGCGTTGGTCTGGATAGTATGCACCGTTGTGGGGGTTAGACCAAGCACAGCGGCTTTGTCCACAGCCCATTCGCCTTTTTGAAAATGGGCTAATACGGTACATCCATTTTCGTAGCCAGGGTAATAGTCTTGCGTTGCCTCTTCACTAACCACTAGCATCAATAGCACTTAATGGGCACTTGGAAGCCAATTTCAATGGTTATAGTACAGTTTTAGAGCAACAGCACTTAAGCACACACAAATAATGTGAAGTCATAACAAAGACTGGCTTGGCGTCATTTGGGGACGCTGTGACGTTCTGCGAATGAGAGCAGTGCGTCGAGCCAAGGGAGCATACCGCAGCCAGACGGGAGCGGGTGATGTGCCTTAAAAAGTAGTCCCTGACGACGCAAAATGACGTAGCATCCGATCACCGGGAATTGAAAAAATTTTCGGTCTCAAAAATTTAGCGACAGTACTGAAACAACGTTAAGCGGGACGATGTTAAGTGAGGACTTGCTGTACAATATTACGCATAGGTAACTGAAGAGTCAATCATTCTATAAATATAGTTATTTGATGTTAACTACTCTATTCGCATCTTGTATCACATTGTGCACGCAGAAACACTGAAACACCTTATGGTAAATATTATCTACAGAGTAACTGGCAACTCAGGAAGCCAGGGCTGCCAACATCCGCTTTAACTCATGAGTGTTTTCAGAATTCTTAGTCCGGTGTGTCATACTGTAGGAACCCGTAAAGGTGCAGAATAATTTTTAGCTGACTTTACACAAGTCACAAAAAAACTTTTTATGAACACAGAAAGAGCGAAATCCAGTAAAACAATATCTGTACTGTCCAGTAATTTTTTTTCATGTTTCAAGCTGGGTTACAGCTCACAGGGAAATATGTACAGTACTGTATTCAACAAAGCCTTCTTTATGATAAATCATCCTCAGTTGGCATTAAGTGTGAGAGATTTGGCTCCAATAGTTTAACTTAATCATGCAGTACAGTATTGTACTACACAGCAGTATCTTGAAATGTTCTGTAATTTAAGTAAAAATAAAAGGTCAAGCACTCCTCAAATTTGTCACCTTTGTAGTACTGTACTTGAATTTAATGTGTATAATCTACAATACAGTATCTTAGCCTTTAAAGAATTTTTATACTGTACCATCTACCTTGAAATACTTACCATAATTGGTGGTGCAAATTTTGTGTTACTACATTCACAAAGGCCTAAACAAAAATGATGATTGTACACAAACAAATCCTGAGAAAAAGTGATATGGAAAGGCCAAGATTTCACCACTACTAGTATAGTACATGTATTGCCTTCCTATTACACACTAATTTAACCATTTTAATTCTGAGTCAAGATTTATCTGAAGTACAGTACAGTACAGTACAGTACCTAACCTGGTGCTGCAGTTGATATGGTTTGTGGTAGTCATACAGTACATATACAGTATCAGAATTTTACTGCTTTTAATTTTGTGAATTATGCAATACTGTACTGCACTATAATTTATTGCCTAGCTATACAATCTAACCTGTGAAGGTTGTTCTCTCCATAAACTTATATAACAGTAATCTTAACAAGCTCTTGAAAATCTAATGGAAACATTTTCCAGAGGACGCTGGCAATCTATGAATCTTGGTGACTTCTTGAGATTACAAATAGTATTAGATCTTTCTGGTGCTGTACAGTATAACAGTAATAAGGCCTCTCTACAGTCACATGTGTTGGTACAGTACAGCCATGAACACAACAAGAGGCTGGCATACTTACATGGAGAAAGGCACCTTCTTGTTAAGGTAAGGGAAGTATGACTTGACCCATAACAAACAAAACCTCAAACAAGGTAGACACACAGATGACTCCAATGTGTGACATCATCTACAACCCACCTAGCTATACCGTGTAGTATAGGACCTGACTCCTCAACAACTGCTGTTTCTGTGTTTACCAGATGTTCACCTACACATTCATGTTCCATTGACAATTTTGGACCCAAGCTTCAACCCCTCCTTTTTTGAGACAGAATCTCTCACTGATGAACACAACTTATTCCAGCCAAAAGGATTTTATTACAGACAAACTGAATCTCACTAAAGCCAAGCCAAGAAAATACATCAAGTAAACTTTCCACAAACAAGCCATTAACTCATTATTATAAGACAAATCCTTCCTAAAAGTACATTCTAATAACTATACTGTATACCAGAAGAAAAACTAGGAAGCAACAGAAGAACAAGAGCCAAATGAGAGTGAACTACAGTACATACAGCAGCTACTCGAGCACTGCATCCACTAGGCTGCCACACCCCAATTACGGTACAATTTAGAGAAGATTGTTAACTACAGCGCCTCCTAATAAACTTCTATTAGCAGTCGACAAAACAAATCTGGTTTCTTTCTTCAAAATTAACCTTACACTTTTTTTCAGTAAATAAGTACAGTATATAAATTCATGAATACTTACATGTCCAGTGTCCATGTTATAAACTAAACCAAATTAAATTGTACATAACCCCATTTACACCAAGTTTCAGACTACCGTACAGTACTTCATCCAAGGTTGTAAAACAAGCTGTGTTGGCCATTGTCAGGTAAAGTCACAAACCCAAGGCTACAATATCCCCTGGCCGTGGGACAACCCTAGTCACATATGCACAGTCAACTTATATGCATTCATTTACCAAAACAAGGAAAGAGAAGTACAAGTAAATAAAAATGTCTGCTGTTGACTCCCACCAATCTGCACTAAAGTAGGAAAGGGGCTTCATACAGCAGAAAAATGTTTTGATGTACTCGACCCAGGAAATACTGTATTGTATTGTACTGTACTAGCAACTTACAGGGTCGTGCTTGCTGGGGCATCTGATAACTCATGGTGCCGGCGGCTCAGCTCGCCTCACTCTGAAACACAAAAAACTATGTTAGAATTATGCAAATTCCCAGTTACAATACTGTACAGTACTGGAAAAGTCATTATCCAAATATCAATTTATTAACTACAGATCCTTAATCAGCATGTTCAGTAGTACCTACAGGTGCTCCTCTACTTAAGAACAAGTTCCATTCATGAGATTTGTTCGTAAGTCCAACTTTAATTATGTAGATATCATATATTCAGTATCGTACAAAATTTAACAAAATAAAGGATTGTACAGTACAGCTATACCCCAATAATAAATACCGTACTGTACAGCACATTACTGTACTCTCCAGTATATCTTACCAGACTTTAACAGTACTTTAATGCATAAATACTTTATATAATTTTTGTAGGCAACTGTGCATATGACTTGCAGTATGAACAATCAAATGGACATACGGACAGGTTTGTTCATATCTCTGAAAGTTCTTAAATCGTGTGTTCATAAATCGTGGAGCACCTGTACTTGATCATGTCCTTAGCTTTATAACAACAATACAGTAGGCTAAACAAAAGATCTTTAGTTTCCTTATTACTGTAATTCACAACAAGGATAAAAATACTCAAGTGAACTAATATATGTACAGTACCCGGTACATAAAAACATTAAAACCTTGACCCCAACAAAATCCCTCTCAGCTTATTCCAAAATCAAGACACAACAAGGATAAAAATGTTCAAAGAGAGATAACCAGTTTTATCAGGCAGCTTCAGAAACACAAAACCCATTTTAGCTTACTACAGAAAATGTGAACAAAAACTTACAAGAACTAATGATCTCAGGTACTGTAATCACTATTGTATTGTTGGTGTATTAATGTTTTTGTTTCACACAGTAACTCGCACCAACACTGTCACCTACACAAATACTTTCACTTTGACTCAGAGGCTGAAAGCGGTGCTTGTTATCAGGGCAGCTAAAAGATAACATGGTGATAATACTGATAATGGCAAACTGGCATATGTTAAGAAAACACCACAAACAGGACCACAACACCAAGTATCTTTCTGGCGATACAAACCAACCAATACTGAAACGGTCCCACTGGCCTGACATCCTGTTAGTGGCAATGCAGATACACGACATCAACTATGCCTTCGGTAAACAAGGAGGCAGTGTGGCTGGCATTGCATCCTACCATCCTTACTTCCCCAACTGTATAATGTACTTAGATACCTCTTCACAGCAGGGTAGACTGGGCATACCTAAAGCAATAATCAATGACCCATAGAATAGGAGGCAAGTCATGTACCCACTCAGCTGCCACACTCCAGTAGGGGTCTTCACAGGAGAATATATGTCAGTGGCTCTGTTGATATTACGAAGCCTAGGAATCTATAACAAAACCATTAATGAAGGCAGAGATGTACCAACCAAACCTGACCAAATAATTCTAGGATATATTATAGTTAGCTTATGTTAGGTTTTGTGGGCTTGCATCATGTGCTGTCATAAATGTTAATCTTGTACAGTAGCTGCCATATGTCAACAGAGCTGCATTATGCACTTCCTATGGAAATCTAATATAATTAAGTCATTTCTAATTTGTTTTTTTATGTCTTGAAAATTTGTCTTAATATTAACCACCATAATGCTCAACTAACCTAACCTATCCTAACCATTTCCCCCGTGTATAGTTTGGGTGTTTATTCATGAGGTGAAATAACCTGTGAAGGCTAATTTTCAGGTGAAAAAATCACAAATCTAAGAAAAAATTGCCCATTCGAGTGAGGATTGAGCTTGTTAATAATATTAATTTTAAACCAACCTGTCATAACCTTAGCTACCCAAGGACCAACAGGGAGAAGAGCCTACAGCCACACTTCTTTGGGTAAGAAACCCTCTAGCTGAGACATTGTCTGGGCAAGGAGGTGAAGCACCCACACAATGCCTGGGTATATCTGTGGGGAAAATGTATTGTGCATGCAGAAGGCATTGTGAAAGTCTTATGTAAACTAAGCTACAGTAATTCAGTCCACCTTGTAGACACACTCCAACTGAGACTCTTGACCCAGAGAGCACTCCTGGCGGCCACTGCTGTTTGGTTAGGTTGGACAGGTTAGGCTTGGATAGTTTACTTCCAATGAGAAAATTATGGTTTGACAGCATATTCGTGGTATTCTCTGAACACTGGCAATCTTACAAGATAACAAACTGATAACAACAGTCTGTTTTACACATACAGTATATTACACAAGTCTCCAAGGAATTAGGAAGGAAATTCCTTATTTTCTCCCCTTCCCTCCCAGCCACACACACATGAATGCACATAAATAAGAGCTTTCCTATTTAAATATTCATAATATTAATGGTAATAATAATATAGTACTGTAGTATAGTGGAAAAGGTTGAAAAATATTGTTTAAGAGTTAATGCTGTAAAGACTAAAGTACATTGTAATGGTTGTTTCCAAATACTGTAGGAAATAAATCATAAAATAATGATTATGGTAGGCAACAGGGAACTTAAACAAGTGGATTTTTTTTTGGTATACCCTGTATATGGGAAGTAGCATCAGCTGTGGTAGATGGTGTACTGAAGAAATCAAAACAAGAATAGGGCCAGCAAAAACAGCATTTAACAATATAAAAGACCTAATGAAAAAAGACTAACTTTAATTTGAGAAAGAGGCTGCTTAGAGGCTTCATATGGCCAGGATACTATATGGGTCAGATGTGTGGACACCAGAAAGAGGTTGGAGGGATATTAGCACAAATATCAGGGCCAGGGGAAGGCAGAGACTGGGATGGATGAATGTAATTAAAAACTTGGTCCCCAGAGAGATATAAAACCTTAGAGGATTGGTAAAAACAGCCTGAGAACATTTAGAGCGGAGGAATGTGGTCACAGACCCTCAGATATGAAGACGGTACTCTGATTGAGTAGCATAATAATGACAGTGAAGCTAGAAAACATGTTTTAAATTATAGCTTTTGGTGTCCACAATGATTATTGTATAAGCCAATATTAACACAAACACAAGCAGTAAAATGCGATAAAACAATAATTTTTTACCCGAACTTATGAGAAACAGGACAAGATCAGAAATAGTGAACACGACGAAATGGTGAGCCAACATCCATAATTATCGTAGTAATACTGCACACGATTCTTGTTATATAACTGAAGATACATTCTCTACAGGTAAACAAGAGAGAAACTCCACGCTCAATCCCTGATACGTTACTGTGCCACCCAAATATTCCAGCCACTCTGTTTATATCTAAGGAGTGAACACTACAAACAACTTGAGTTATGACCAATACTTCAAGTGTTGTATGTGAACACTTGCAGGGCTAATGGTGTAGTGGACAGGTAATATTCATAAAATTTACCTCATACGACAACCAACACTGTGCCACCTTGGAATTTTAATGTTAAGTCTTATTAGTTGGTACTGCATGCTTGTCATTGTACAGTATACCTATGTACTGTACACTGTTTCTGTACATAGCTACTGAACCAATGTTAACTTATGTGACAATTTAACAGAGTAATTATCTACCTATTACAGAATTTGGCCTCCATTGTCTATGAGGAGATGAGGAAACAGGAAATGCCATTGTACTACAACACAAGGCACCAGAAATGTGTGTCACTCTCTCTATTTTCTATCTATTCTCTCTTATCTTTATCTCCCATTATCTCTTTCTTTTCTCAATCCTTCTTCTCCATTTCTCTTTTCCTCTCCATTTTTCTTCCGTTCTTAATCCATTTATCTCTCTCCCTCACTATCCAAATTATTTCATTCTCAATCTACAGCTTATTTCACACAAGATTAAGCAATGGGGGAGGGAAGGGAATCGTCAGGTGATCTGCTTAGCCTAGTCAAGCTTAGCGGTTAGCCTAGTCAAGCTTAGCAGTAGATAGATCTGCTTAGCCTATTCAAGCTTAGCAGTAGATGTTTGGGGTAAAGTTGTGTTAGATTTAGCCATGAGAGGTTAGGTTAGATTACAAATAGGATAGGTTGAAGGCCGGATACATTAGATAACAAGTAGGTAGGATAGGTTGAAGGCCGGATACATTAGATAACAAGTAGCTAGGATAGGTTGAAGGCCGGATACATTAGATAACACGTAGCTAGGATAGGTTGAAGGCCGGATACATCAGATAACAAGTAGCTAGGATAGGTTGGGTTAGAAGTAGGGTAGATTAGGCTAGAAGTGGGATAGCTTGGCCTAGGTTAGAGGTGGATAGGTCAAGTTAGAGATGGGATAGGCCAGATTAGGGGTGGGATAGGTCAGGTCCGAGGTGGGATAGGTCAGGTCCGAGGTGGGATAGGTCAGGTCCGAGGTGGGATAGGTCAGGTCCGAGGTGGGATAGGTCAGGTTAGGTCAGGTGGGTGGGATAGGAGAGGTTACAGGTGGGATAGGCCAGGTCCGAGGTGGGATAGGTCAGGTCCGAGGTGGGATAGGTCAGGTCCGAGGTGGGATAAGTCGTCAGGTTAGGGTTGGGATAGGTCATCAGGTTAGAGGTGGGATAGGTCATCAGGTTAGAGGTGGGATAGGTCATCAGGTTAGATGCAAGATGGGTCGTCAGGTTAGAGGTGGGATGGGTCGTCAGGTTAGAGGTGGGATAGGTCGTCAGGTTAGAGGTGGGATGGGTCATCAGGTCAGGTTAGGGCAGGTTATAGGTCAGGTTAGAGGTGGGATAGGTCATCAGGTTAGAGGGATGGGTCAGGTTAGAGGTGGGATAGGTCATCAGGTTAGAGGTGGGATGACAGGTCAGGTCCGAGGCGGGATAGGTCAGGTCCGAGGTGGGATAGGTCATAGGTCAGGTTAGAGGGATAGGAGGGGATAGGCCAGGTCCGAGGGGATAGGTCAGGTCCGAGGTGGGATAGGTCAGGTCGAGGTGGGATAGTAGGTTAGTTAGGGTCAGGTTAGATGGATGGTCAGGTTAGAGGTGGGATAGGTCGTCAGGTTAGAGGGATGGGTCATCAGGTTAGTGGGATGGGTCATCAGGTTAGAGGTGGGATGGTCATGAGGTTAGAGGTGGGATAGGTCGTCAGGTTAGAGGTGGATGGGTCGTCAGGTTAGAGGTGGGATAGGTCGTCAGGTTAGAGGTGGGATGGGTCGTCGTCAGGTTAGAGGTGGATAGGTCGTCAGGTTAGAGGTGGGATATCAGGGTTAGAGGTGGGATAGGTCAGGTTGGAGGTGGGATAGGTCAGGTTGGAGGTGGGATAGGTCAGGTTAGAGGTGGTGATAGGTCAGGTTAGAGGTGGGATAGGTCAGGTTAGAGGTGGGACAGGTCAGGTTAGAGGTGGGATAGGTCAGGTTAGAGGAGGGATAGGTCAGGTTAGAGGAGGGATAGGTCAGGTTAGAGGTGGGATAGGTCAGGTTAGAAGTGGGATAGGTCAGGTTAGAGGTGGGATAGGTCAGGTTAGAAGTGTGATAGGTCAGGTTAGAAGTGGGATAGAATAGTTTGTGATGGGATAGTTTAGGTTTAAGGTTGGGATAGTTCCAGTTAGCGGCAGGATAGGTTAGGAAATGCCTGTACAGCAGAGTCACTCACATAGGAAGTGGATCAAGTTGAGTCATTCATATCAGGTGTAGTGAGCACCATAAACTCACTCACTCCTCTACAATGTATTTCTCCTTTATTCATTATATTCATCTAATAATTCTATAACTCATTCTCTCCCGCGGGTTATTAAGTAGTAATTTAACTAAAAATAAATGTCCGTAATGGTTTAAATGACTGAAATATTTGAGTGTGGAGAGCAACCATCACACACCCACTCCAACAATACTCGTTCACTCACACTTGTACGATATATTTTCAGACTTATTTCCACCTTTCCCGTCTTATTTATCCACTTGAGCTTTACTTCAATCATTTCCACAAGTATTAAAGTTGTCGCTTCACCGATAACCCCATCATCAATGGCGCTAATAGTTGAAATAAGTAAAGAATCTCACGACTGGGGAAGCAGGGCGACCATCACACACCCATGACAACAACACACTCATTCACATACACTTGTAACTACACATTTCTGGCCTTATTTTTACCTTCTACGATTGATTTATTCGCTATAATAACAACTCACCCTCTTCCGTAAGTCTTTAAGTTGTCTCTTCACTGAAAATCCCGTTCGTGATGGTGTAAATAGTCGAAATAAGTAAGAATATGGAGGTAGTCGTCCACACCTCCTCTCACTCCTGCATCGATCGAGCCACTGAGCCGCTGTACGGTCAGGTGCTCACTCCGCCCCGATAACTAGTTCCTCTCTTTAACGCCGTTTATTTATCATTAAAGCTCTTTAATATAATCTTCTTACTAGTTTTAATATCACTTTATAATTAATATCATTTTTTTATGTTTTATTACTGTGTTTATAACTATATATACATACTGTTTAGTTACAAAAAATAATATTACCTTTATTACTGTATTTCTTTTCACTTTAATTTATCAGCATTATTATTTATTATCATTTATTACCGTTACCTTAATTACTTTATGTTCTCTGTTATATTTGTTGTTGTTCAGCTTATTATTTGTTAATTACTGTATTGTCTATTACTAACAGAACTTATTATAATTGTGTTTGGTTTGGTTGATGTTATATAGATAGATAGATAGATAGATAGATAGATAGATAGATAGATAGATAGATAGATAGATATGGGGAAGATATACAAACAATGTTAATAATACGATCAATAAATACCGCAAGTTGTATACTATATTACGCTAATTGATTATTTGTATAAAATTTGGGTAAGATTGGAAGGAAATAAAGGCAAAACTATTAATGGAATAATAAAAAAACAATATTATAATTAGGTAAAGTAAAATACATAACATTAAAATAATAATTATGGAAATTGACTAAAATCGATAATGAACACCAGAACTAGTTGTTAACGCACATGAAATGATAATAAAGATGAAAATAAGTAATTAATTCCCATCAACTTTGAACAATGTAAACAATTCAAACAACATAGTGGCACTTTAAGCGGTATTCCTGCGCCCCCACTTGAGATTGTGCAGCAAGATGGTCAATGTTTAAAGACTTACCACGACCTTAGCTGCCACCCCTAAATATTTTTTTTTATGTTACGTGACCCAACCAGACTATCTTGATTTGCCTTAAAAAATACTCTAGTTAGACTATTTAGGTGAGGATAGGTGGAGTTAGGTTAGATGTCTTGAATAAAACAAACTAATGAATAGGTTCAGTGAGTTTATCCATGTAAACCGATATATTGATAAACCATTTATTCTTTTTATTCACACGAATCTCACATAATTATCCTATTAATATATATTTTTTTTAATAAGATCAGCATATGTTTGCTTGGTTCACACATCTGAAAAAAACATTGAGTTCGCGGCACTGTTCGTGATATTCTTATTAACATCCAATATATTTCAGCGTGCCATATTACATCTCTTGTTTGAGGAATTTCAGGAACAGTAATTTCAAGCATATCGCATCAAACTCTTCGTGTGTTTTTCATCCTCGTTCTCTTGAAATATTGGTGATATTTTCGGAAATAAAAAATAATCACATCTCTTAAGATATTAAAGGAAAGATGTGGTCGTGATGTGGCAGCAGCTGTTATGGCATTTGCATTTTACAACAACGAACAAACTGCCACTGGGATTGTGTGGTGTGGTGTGGTGTGGTGTATGACTGGTGTGGTGTGGTGTGTGTATGACTGGTGTGGCGTGGTGTATGACTGGTGTGGCGTGGTGTATGACTGGTGGCGGTGGTGACTGGTGGTGTGGTGTATGGTGGTGGTGACTGGTGTGGTGTGTGGTGACTGGTGGTGGTGACTGGTGTGGTGGGTGGTGACTGGTGTGGTGTGGTGACTGGTGGTGTGGTGTGTGGTGCGTATGACTGGTGGTGGTGTATGACTGGTGTGGTGGTGGTGGTGTGGCGACTGGTGTGGTGTGGTGTGGTGGTGAGACTGGTGTGGGTGCTGGTGTGGTGGTGTGGTGTGGTGGATGACTGGTGGTGGTGGGTGACTGGTGGTGTGTGTGGTGGTGGTGACTGGTGGTGTGGTGGACTGGGTGACTGGTGGTGTGTGGTGTGGTGACTGGTGTGGTGTGGTGTGGTGGTGACTGGTGTGGTGGGTGTGTGTGTGACTGGTGTGTGTGTGTGGTGTATGACTGGTGTGGGGGTGTGGTGACTGGTGGTGTGGTGGTGGCGACTGGTGGTGTGGTGTATGACTGTGTGGTGGTATGACTGGTGGTGTGGTTATGACTGGTGTGGTGGTGTGTATGGCTGAGTGGTGGTGGATGGCTGGTGGTGGCGGCGGTGGCGATCTGGTGTGGTGTGGCGACTGGTGTGGTGTGGTGTGTGTGGTGACTGGTGGTGGTGGCGGTGGCTGGTGTGGTGTGGTGACTGGTGTGGTGTGTGTATGATGGGTGGTGTCGTGGTGACTGGTGGTGTCGTGGCTGTGACTGTGTGGTGTGTGGGCGACTGGTGTGGTGTCGCAGGCGATGGTGTGGTGGTGTGGTGACTGGTGTGGTGGTGTGTGACTGGTGTGGTGGTGGCGACTGGTGGTGTGGTATGTATGGCTGGTGGTGGTGTGTGGTGACTGGTGGTGGTGTGTGGTGACTGGTGGTGTGGTGTGTATGACTGGTGTGGTGTGACTGTGTGGTGTGGTTTGCGTGGCGACTGGTGGTGGTGTATGACTGGTGTGGTGTGGTGGTATGATCGGGTGGTGGTGGTGTATGATCGGTGGTGGTGTATGACCGTGTGGTGGTGTATGGCTGGTGGTGGTGTGTGTATGACTGGTGTGGTGTGGTGGCGGCTGTGGCGGCTGTGGTGGCTGGTGTGGTGGTGTGGCTGTGGTGGTGTGTGGTGACTGGTGTGGTGGCGGGATGGAGTGGTGTATGACTGCGGTGGTGAGTGGTGGGTGTGGTGACTGGTGTGGTGTGTGTATGACTGGTGGTGGTGTATGTGACTGGTGGTGCGGTGGCAGGTATTGCGGTGTGGTGTATGGCTGGTGTGGTGTGGTGTGGTGTATGGCTGGTGGTGTGGTGTATGGATGGTGGTGTGGTGGTGTATGGCTGGTGTGGTGTGTGTGTATGACTGGTGTGGTGTGGAAGGACTGGTGGTGTGTGTGTATGACTGGTGGTGGTGTGTATGACTGGTGGTGTATGAGCTTGTGGTGTGGTGTATGCGTGGTGTGTGGTGGTGGTGGTGTGGCGACTGGTGTGTGGTGGGTGTGTGGCGATGGTTGTGGAGGTGGTGGTGTGTATGACTGGTGGTGTGGTGTGTGGATGGCTGGTGTGGTGTGTGGCGGTTGTGGTGTGGTGGTGTATGACTGTGGGTGTATGTATGATGGTGTGGTGTGGCGACTGGTGGTGTGGTGTGGTGACTGGTGGTGTGGGCGTATGTATGAGTGGGTGGTGTGTGGTGTGGCGGCTGGTGGTGTGGTGGCTGGTGTGGTGTGGTGTATGTATGACTGTGGTGTGGTGTATGTGGCGACTGGTGTGGTGGTGTGTATGACTGGTGGTGGTGTGGCGATGACTGATGAGTGGTATGGCTGGTGGTGGTGGGTGTATGGCTGGTGTGGTGTGGTGTATGACTGGTGTGGTGTGGGTGACCGGATGTGGTGTGGTGGTGTATGGCTGGTGTGGTGGTGGCGACTGGTGGTGGTGGGCTGTGTGGTGTGGTGGGTGACTGGTGGTGGTGGTGACTGGTGTGGTGGTGGTATGACTGGTGTGGTGGTGGGTGTATGGCTGGTGGGGTGGTGTGTTTGGCGATGTGGTGTGTGTGTGTATGACTGGTGTGGTGACTGGTGTGGTGGTGTGGTGTAGGCTGGTGTGGTGGGATGGTGGTGGTGGCGACTGGTGTGGTGATTGGTGTGGTGGTGGTGTATGACTGGTGGTGGTGTGTGAATGGTGTGATGTGTATGACTGGTGTGGTGTGGTGTATGACTGGTGTGGTGTGGTGGTGACTGGTGTGGTGTGGTGTGGTGACTGGTGTGGTGTGTGTGGTGTGATGACTGGTGTGGTGTGGTGGTGTGGTGTGTGTGACTGGTGGTGGGTGGGTGACTGGTGTGATGTGTGACTGGTGGTGTGTATGACTGGTGGTGTGTGTATGACTGGGTGGTGGTGTGGTGTATGACTGGTGTGGTGTGTGTATGACTGGTGGGTGGTGACTGGTGTGGTGTGGTGTGGCGACTGGTGGTGTGTGGTGGTGTATGACTGGTGTGGTGTGGTGTGGTGTGTGTATGACTGGTGTGGTGAGTGTGGTGACTGGTGTGATGTGTGTATGACTGGTGTGGTGTGTGGCGACTGGTGTGGTGTGGTGACTGGTATGGTGTGTGTGTGACTGGTGGTGGTGTGGTGTGTGTATGACTGGTGTGGTGGTGGGTGACTGGTGGATGGTGTGTGTGTGTATGACTGTGTGGTGCATGACTGGTGTGATGTGTATGACTGGTGTGGTGTGGTGGTGGGTGTGTATGACTGGTGGTGGTGCATGACTGGTGTGGATGTGTATGACTGGTGTGTGGTGTGTGACTGGTGTGGTGTGGTATGACGACTGGTGTGGTGTGGTGTATGTATGGCTGGTGTGGTGTGTGTATGATTGTGTGGTGGTGTGGTGTATGTATGACTGGTGTGGTCGGTGTGTGTGGGAGTGGTGTGGTGTGGTGTGGTGTGTGCATGACTGGTGGTGTGGTGTGGTGACTGGTGTGGTGTGCAATGAGTGGTGTGGTGGTGTGTGTATGACTGGTTGGTGTGGTGTGTGGTGTGGCGTGGTTGGCTGTGGTGGTGTGGTTTGGTGTGTCGTGGTGTGGTGTGGTTTGGTGTGTGGCTGTGGTTGGTGTGGCTGTGGCGTGGCGGGTGTGGGGTGGTGTGGGGCTGTGGTGTTGTGGCGTGGGCGTGTGTGTTGGTGGTGTGGTGTGGTCTGGTCATGGCGTAGCGTGGTGTGGTGTGGTGTGGTGTTTGGTGTGTTGGTGCGGTGTGGTGTGTGTTGCTGGCTATGGCGTAGCGTGGTGTGGTGTGGTGTGGTTTGGTGTGTTGGTGTGGTGTGGTGTGTTGTGGTGTGGCTGTAAGAGCGGTGTGCTGTGGTGTGGTGTGGTTGCGTGTTGCTGGTGGTGGTTTTGGTGTGGTGTATTGGGGTGGTGTGGCTGTGGCAGCGTGTGTGTTGGTGCGGTGTGGTGTGTGGATGTGGTGTGTGGCAGAGCGTGGTGTGTTGTGGTGTGGTGTGGTGGTGTGGCTGTG